GAATGTCCGGTAAAACTCCCCCGTGAAGCCATCCTGACCTGGGCTTTTGTTTGCTGGGAGAGTCCTGATTACATCTTCAATTTCTTCTGTTGTTATTGGTCTGTTCAAGTTTTTTTATTCTTGATAAAACTATAATTGTCCAGTTTGTAGATTTTTAAAAAATAATAAATATTTTGGTATATTGATTTGATGTATGTTTTTATACTAATTTATTTTTTTTCAAGTTCTTTTTTTTAATCCTCACCTGAGGATATTTTTTCATTTATTTTTAGATAGAGTGAGAGGGAGGAAGAGAGAGAGAGAAAGAGAAACATCAATGTGAGAAACCCCCACATGAGCCCAACCAGTGCTGGGGACCAAACCGCAACCAAGGTACATGCCTTTGACCAGAATCGAGCCTGTGACTCTTTGGTCCCCAGGTCGACGCTCTAAACTCTGAGGCAAAACAGCCAGCCTTTTTTATACTAATTTCTATTGCTATCTTGTTTTTTCCCCCTTTTCTTGTAGTTTATTTACTTTTTGATTTCTTTTAAAATTTTTGAATAGGCAATTTATTTTATTTCTTTAATTCTTTTTTTTTTAATTAATAAATGTGTTTAATGCTACAGGTTTTCCTCTGATTACTACTTTGACTATATATCAGATATCTTTAAAAAAGTTTTTTTTCTTTATTGATTTTAGAGAGAAAAAAGGGAGATGGAGAGAGAGAGAGAGAGAGAAAGAGAGAGAGAACCATCAATGAAAGAGAATATTGATTGCCACCTCCTGCATGCCCCTCACTGGGGATCAGGCCCACAACCTGGGCATGTGTTCTAACTGGGAATCTAATTGGTGACCTCTTGGTGCATGGGTCGACACTCAACCATTAAGCTATACCAGCTGGACCAGATATATTGATATGTACTGCTCTATTATCACTATGCAGAAAGTTTATATTTATTTTTGTATTTTCACTTTCATCCTAGTGTGGAGTGAGACCTAAATTTCAAGATTGATGGGCTCTTTTTTCCTGAAATTTATTTTCAACTTACAATTTTATTACATTATTATCAGAAAATACTTTTTGTAATATTTCTACTTTGTGACACTGATGCTTTCTTTGAGAATTAATGAATGATCAAATGCTGTGAATATCCATGTGCACTTGAGATGAAGGTAATTTTGTGTAGTAGATTCACAAAAGATGAAAGAATTCAAAGCAAAACACTACAAAAAATGATCAAGTCATAAAGGAAGACAGCAAGAGAGGAAGAAGGGGAATGAAACTATGAAAATCAGAAAACATTGAATAAAATGGCAGTAATTAGTTCTCATATATCTAATGTAAAAAAGTAAATTATCCAATCAAAAGACACAGAGTGACTGAATGGATTAACGAACCATTAGACTGTTATTATTATTATTTTTATTTTGTCTTAATCACCTTTTACCTCTCTTCAAATTCACCATGTAAATTTGAATATGTCATTCAAAATCTCAGAGCCTGTTTTTAAAATGAGTTTTTGCTTTACCAAAAGCTCTCTAAAAAATTCTCACAACTCTGAGTATGATTTTCTTCTTTATGTGAAAGACATGTTCCAAATTAAGTGTCATTGGGATTGTAGGATTGAGGGAAAGAGGTAGGTAAAAAGAATGGCTTTGGGGAAGTATGGGGAATAAGATCCTCAAATAGTGAAAAGAATAGATTAGCTCAGAAAATTTAGGAGATAGACTTGACCTATTAATACTCAGTTGTATAACATAAGCACTATCCTTGCTCATATTATTCATATAACTTTCTAAATTAATGTTGACCTCATGGAATCCTTTCATTTTTTCCTGAAGACACACGCACAGTTGAATTATGTGGAATGGACTCTTACTATAGAATCATCTTATTGTCAACAAAATGCTACAATTTGTTTAGTTCTGCTAATATATTTCACTTTTATCATTCCACCTACCTCTTTCATAACTAGAAGAGACTACAGCAATTTGCAGGGCAAATAGGAGAACAGATTTTCCTTTTACATATATTCTCTTTTTCCCCCCAATTTTATTAATTTATTTTTGTTATAGATGTTTCTCCTTTCCCCCCCAGACATCCTCCTCCCCATCCCGACCCCCACCCCCTTAGCATTATTGTCTATGTCCATTGGTTATGCATAAATGCATAAAAGTTCTTTGGTTCATCTCATCCACCACCACCCCCCCACTCCCCTACTCTGAGGTTTGTCAGTCTGAACCATACTCCTTTCTATGTCTCTGGTCTATTTTGTTCATCAGCCCACCTTGTTCATTATATTCCACAAATAAGTGAGATCATGTGGTATTTGTCTTTCTCTGATTGGTTTATTTTGCTTAGTATAATACTCTTGAGGTCCCTCCATGTTGTCTCAAATGATACAAGATCTTTCTTTCTTACAGCTGCATAGTGTTCCATTGTATATATGTACCACCACTATTTTATCTGCTCATCTACTGATGGGCACTTGAGCTGTTTCCAGATCTTAGCGATTGTAAACAGTGCTGCTATGAACATATTGGTACACATATTCTTTCTGATTGGTGTTTCAGGCTTCTTAGGATATATTCTTAGAAGTGGGATCACTGGGTCAAATGGAAGTTCAATTTTTAATTTTTTGAGGAAACACCATATTGTTTTTCATAGTGGTTGCACCAGTCTGCATTCCCACCAGCAGTGTACTAGAGTCCCCTTTGCTCCACACCCTCGCCAACACTTGTTGTTTGATGATTTGTTGATGGCGGCCATTCTGGCAGGTGTGAGGTGATACCTCATTGTTGTTTTAATTTGCATCTCTCTGATGATTAGTGACATTGAGCATTTCTTCATATGTCTCTTGGCCATTTTTATGTTATTTTTAGAGAGGTGTCTATTTACATATTTTTTTTGTAGCATAAAATTTCCAAGAAAATAAAATATATACAAATTGCCCTTTTTAATAAGTTACTTGGTTAATCGAGAGCCATTTATAAAAGTGACCAGAGGTAGGTGAAGAGATCTGGAAATAGCTAGATTTAAATTTGAGTACTGAGACTAATTCTTATAGTTTCAAAAGATGATTCTCAAAATAATTTTCTTGAGTTAAGGGCTATTGTCACAATTTCACGGCTCACTTAGATTTTTTTCCTACTTAAGTTTAAAGATGACTTTTTTAAAAAAGTTTCCTCCTTTCCCAGTAACATCAGCTAATTGGAGACTGCCATAGCTCAGCCAACAGAAAGTCACTATACTGTAAACTTTGAGTTTTCAGCAATGGACTCTTTTTTACAAGAGCCACTCCCAAGCCCATAAGAGAATGTTTCTTCTTTGTTTCTCTGGACTTGGGTAAAAGTAAATTTTTTTTTCCCTCACCCGAGGACATTTTCTATTCTTTGTTCAGATAGAGTGGGAGGAAGAGAGAGAGAGAGACATCGACATGAAAGGGACACATCAAGTGGCTGCCACCCGCATGACCAATCAAGGCCGGGGACAAACTGCAACCAAGGTACGTGCCTTAGCGGGAACCAAACCTGGGTCTCTCTGGATCACAGGCCAACGCTCTAATTGCTGAGCCAAACCAGCCAGGGCAAAGGTAAATTTTTTAAGAATCATGGTAAACAATTACATAAGATAAAGTGTAGAGTTAAAATCCAGATGGGTTAATAAGACAAAAAAATAATAATGCTTTAGATTGTATAAAGAGAGGAGAGCACCCTGGCCAGTTTGGCTCAGCAGTTAGAGCATCAGCCTGTGGTCCGGAGAGACCCGCGTTGGGTTCCCGCTAAGGGCACGTGCCTCAGTTGCAGTGTGTCCCCTGCCCTGGTTGGGTTGTGTGGGTGGCAGCCACTCAATGTGTCCTTTTCACATCGATGTTTCTCTTCCTCTCTCTCCCTCCCACTTTATCCGAACAAAAAAATGGAAAAATGTCCTCGGATGAGAATAAAATAAATAAATAAATACATAAAAATAAGATCGACAAAAAAAAATTTTTTTTTAAAAAGGTGATAGTTTATTACAATGATGACCTATTTTGGAGAAAATATAGGAGAAATATCTTAATAATAAAGTCTCACTTCTTATCATTTATCATTTTATTGAGCATCTTTACTATGCAGAAGTTAAAACTGAACCAAGTTGTCACAATTAATGCTCCTTCAACCAGTCATAGAAATACATCCAAGTGATCTCTCTGTTGTGCTCCTTGACCACTAGACTTTCCAGATTTTACCTGAAAAATGTGTCATCTTCTTAGTCCTAAGTACCCTAGCTTAAGAACAGGCACATTAAATAAGCTAAGATCTGAGTGGAGTACCTTCCTCTTCCAGGTAATAAGTTTCTTCAAATATGTTTAGAATTGTAGATACTTTAAAAGAGTGAATCAAGAGATACTTTAGGGAAGACTACAAAGGCAACAGAAATTTGATATTGGAAAAAATGGAACACAGGCAAATTTTACATAATGCAAAGTACTAGAGTCTATTTATAAAATAACAGGGTCCAAAACACATTGACAATCAAAGACTGAAAAACTTTTAAGAGTTGTAATATAGTGTTGCCTTCCTATTTATCTAACTTAAAGTACAGTTAGGGTGAGAATTGTTTCTTCCTTGATTTTAATGTCTGCTGATTTATACAAATTCATATTTTATCCATTGGATTCACATAATTTCCATAAGAAATATTAATAGATTTCCAGTGATAAAGGGAAACCATGTATATATACATGTATATATTTACATACACACTGAAAATTGAATGTAGTCATTGATGGTAACTACAATTTAGTTTTGTAGGTTAGATTGAAACACATTACACTATTTTTATAAATAACAAAAATTGCAACTCTATCTGAAAATAAAATTCTTGATTTAATACCTCTTTTTTTTTGTGTGTAGACTTCTCAGTTTTTCAAAGGCAGTAATGAAATTGTATACATTCCATAGTGTTTATGGTGATCATGAGGGTCCTTTTTATCCATGACATTCATCTTGTGCTCTTATCAATGAAATATATTACGTCATTTCCCTGAACTTACAACTTGAGTAGTCAGTCTTCTCATTGCCACTTTCATCTCTCTATTCCTTAAAGTATAGATGGCAGGATTTAAGACAGGAGTGAGGACAAAGTCCACAATGGCCAAAAATGTATCCAATGACTTGGTAGGGAAAGGCCACACATACAGAAACATGCATGGAACAAAAAACAAAACCACTACAGTGATATGAGCTGACAAAGTGAAGAATGCTTTAGACAAATCCTTTGAAGAATGTTTTCTGACAGTGACCAGAATAAAGATGTATGATATAATTAAGAAAAAGAAGGTTCCCATTGATATGAAGCCACTGTTGGCAATGACCACAAATTCTAGTCTATAAGTGTTCATGCATGCAAGTTTAATGACCCGAGGAAAATCACAATAAAAGCTCCCTACATTATTAGGGCCACAGAAAGGTAAATTTATGACAAAAACAAACTGAGAAACAGCATGAATCACTCCAATAACCCAAGCAACCACTATCAACTGCATGCACATTTTGGGACTCATAATAGTTAGGTAGTGGAGAGGTTTGCAGATTGCAGTGTACCTGTCATATGCCATGGCTATGAGCAGCACCATCTCCGTTCCTCCCATGACATGAATAAAGAACATTTGTATCATGCAGCTGTGGAAGGAAATGATTTTACAATCACTGAATATATCAGATATTGTCCGAGGAACTGTGGTAGATGAAAGACCCAGGTCAATGAGTGATAGGTTGGCCAGCAGAATATACATGGGAGAGTGTAAGTGAGAGTCAAAAATAACTGTGAACACAATGAAGAGGTTTCCCAGGATAATTCCCACATAGAATAAAGAGAAGAGAAAAAAAAGAAAAACCCGCATTCCCAAAGAGTGTGCAAGTCCCAGTAACACAAAATCAGTTACAACAGAGCCATTTACTTGGTCCATTGAATCATAAAGAAGGGAAAACTCTGAAGTGATCTGAAAAAAAAGAAAAAAAGGTATAACCTTTTAGATAATGAAAATAATGTGTTAAAATGTTGATCATTTAAAAGTGGTCAATAAGGAGATGGCAGTGGAGTAGGTGGATGTTACACTCACTTTCTTTTAGGACCAAACTGGAAGTACAACTAAAATATAGAGCAATTAACATGAATAACCAGCTGAAGACTAGTTGAAGAGAAGTCTTATAATCAAGGATTTACAGAAGAAGCCATATTGAGACTAGAAGAAAGGGTGCTGATGTGAAAAGGGCTGGCCCTGCTCCCTCAGCTCCTATAGGTAGTTGCTGAGATTCTGGAGGGAGATCTCAGCTGCAAAGGTTCTCCCTGAGAAGCATGGGGTTTCAACCTCAAGCCAGGCTCTCCAGCCAAGAGCACCAGAACAAGGAAGAGGCCCCTACATATCTGACTGAAAATCAGTGGAGACTCTGTGCGCCAGGGAGAGATGAAAGTCTGCTAGAACACAGGTGCTCTCTTAATGAGCTGGTACACAAAAACAATTTGTAGCAACTCACTCTGGGCTCCGGCAGAGTGAGGGCAGAGTAGACTAGAGTTGTGTAAGGAGAGACTGGGGTTTGTGGCTCTGGGGAGAGAGCTGAAGAGAAACTAACAGTATTCCTATGCCAATTCCCTTTCCTATACTTGAGACACTGTTTTTTTGAGGGTGGGGCACTCCCCTTAAGGCAGCATCAGCCTGGGGAAATGCAATAGCTCCACCTTCTGAAATCCCTGTAGCCTTACCCTGCTGAGCTTGAGCCCTGCTGAGGAGTCAGCTGCCTGGGCCAGGATGTAGAGGTCTGGGGAGACTCAGGGAGTGTCAGTGACTGAGCTGTGTGACTTTGGGGCAAGAGCCATTCCACCCACTTTCCCATGAACCTGACTGGTGCCTCCCTATCATGGGAGATCTACTAGCCCAACCAAAAAACTATTAGAACTAATAAATAAATTTAATAAAGTAGCGGGATACAAAATAAATATCCAGAAGTCAGTTGCATTTATATACACCAATAATGAACTATCAGAAAGGGAGACTAAGAAAACAATCTAATTAACAATTACATCCAATAAAAAACCTAGGAATAAATTTAACCAAGGATGTAAAAGACGTACTCAGAAAATTATAAGACACTGAAGAAAGAAATGGAAGAAGATACAAATAAGTGGAAGTATATACTGTGTTCATGAATATAAACAATTAACATTATTAAAATGTCCATATAACTAAAGTAATGTATAGATTCAATGCAATTCCTATCAAGATACCAATAGCATATTTCACAGAACTAGAACACATATTCCAAAAATGTATATGGAACCACAAAAGACTCTGATTAACCACAACAATCTTGAGAAAGAACAAAGGTCTCACGCTACCTGATATCAAACTATACTACAAGTTTATAGTAATCAAAACAGCATAGTACTGGCATAAAAACAGACATATGAATCAATGGAACAGAACAGAGAGCCCAGAAATAAACACATGACTTTATGGTCAATTAAATATTGACAAAGGAGACAAAAACATACAATGGGGAAAAGGTAGTCTATTCAATCAATGGTGTTGAGGAAATTGAACAAATATGTGCAAAAAATGAAACTAGATCATCTTACACCATACATAAGAATAAACTCAAAATGGATAAAAGACTTACATGTTAGACTCAAAATTGTGAAAATTCTAGAAGAAAACACAGGCAGTAAAATCTTGAACATTTCTCATAGCAATATTTTTTTCTGATACATCTCTTCAGGCAAGGAAAACAAAAGAAAAAAGTAAGCGGGACTACATCAAACTAAAAAGTTTTTGTACAGCAAAGGAAACTACTAACAAAATGAAAAGACAACTCACTGAATGGAAGAACATATTCACCTGATAAGGGGTTAATATCCAAAATTGATAACGTATAAAACCCAACACCAAAAATCAACAATCCAATTAAGAAAAGGGCAAAGGATGTGAATAGACACATCCAAAGAGGACATACAAATGGCCAATAGACATATAAAATTATGCTTAATGTCACTATCATCAGAGACCTGCAAATTAAAACCATACTGAGATATTACCTCACAGCTGCCAGAATGTCTATCGTCAATAAATCAACAAACAGCAAGCGTTGGTGAGGATGTGGAGAAAAGGGAATCCTCGTGCACTGTTGGTGAGAATAGAGATTGGTGCAGTCACTGTGGAGAGCAGTATGGAGCTACCTCAAAAAATTAAAATGGAACTACCCTATGACTCAGCAATTCTACTTTCAGGAATTTATCCAAAGTAACCTGAAACACTAATTTGAATGAATACATGCATCCCTCTGTTCATAGCATTATTTACAATAGCCAAGATCTGAAGCAGCCCAAGTGCCCATCAGTAGATGAGTGGATAAAAAAACAGTGGTACATTTATACAATGGAATACTACTCAGCCATAAAAGAGGAAATCTTATCTTTTGCAACAGCATGGATAGAGATGGAGAGTAGGATGCTAAGTGAAATAAGCCAGTTAGAGAAAGATAAGTACCATATGATTTTACTTATATGAGAATCTAAGAAACAAAATAAACTAACAAAATAGAAACAGACTCATGGATACAGAGAACAGACTGACAGCTGTCAGAGGGGAGGCAGCCTAGGGACTTGTGAAAAAGGTGAAGAGGTTAAGCCAAAAAATCCCCTGCAACTTAGAGACACAGACAACAGTATGGTGTTTACCAGAGGGAAAGGGGGGTGGAGGAATGTGCAGGAGGAGAAAGGGCATTAAATGGTGATGGAAGGAGATGACTTGGGGTGGTGAAGACACGATATAATATACGGATGATGTATCATAGAATGTCCACCTAAAGCCTATGTAATTTTATTAACCAATGTCACCCCAATACATTCTATAAAACAGTTTTAAAAAGAGAAGAAAAAAAATTGGTTAGAAACAAATATTTTATTTAATTGATAGTAAACTATTTACAAAATAATGGGAACCCAGGTTATAAAAAATTAATGTAGTATGATCAAAGTTGTACTTAGAGGCAATCTGTTGCTTTAGATATTCTCATTTATTTAAATACATGAACTAATCAGGCAACTTAAGAAGTTGAAAAAGAAAGCGAAAAATAAACTCAGAGTTCAGGTGAATGAAAATAATAAATATTTAAAACAAAATAAATATTGAATCACAGAAAACTGGGAGAGTGTATATAAGCATATAAAAATGTTTTTAAGCCTGCAGGTGTGGTTCAGTCATTGAGCATCGACCCACGCACCAAGATTCCTGGTCAGGACACATGCCCAAATTGTGGGCCAAATCCCCAGTGGGGGGCATGCAGGAGGCAGCCAATTGATGTTCTCTCTCATTGATGTTTCTATCTCTCTCCTCTCTCTCTAAATTCAATAAAGGAAAGAAATTGTTTTTAAAAAAATAGACAATTTTTAAAAAATATAATCAAGAATAATAAATTAAATGACAATTGGATATGAGTGTAAAAATGTATAATAACAGTTAAAGCATCTCTGAAGGCTCTTTCCTGTACAAGCTTAAAAACAATCTACCACAAACCAACACATTAATCATACTTGAATGTGAAATGCAATAGAGAGACCAAAGGTTGATATCTTCATAATATAAAAAAAGAGTTCAAACCACTCAGTAAAACCTTCAAGACCTGATAGATGAATGGACAAATAATGAGAGGGAATTCAGAAATGTAAAGTATATATTTATGAATTGTTTATGTATGGATATATAGATATAGTTCTTCCTTTTATTTTCCTATTAAATTAGAAAATAGTTTTACAATAATTATTATCAAAACTGGCAATGTTTCAGTGAAATAACCACCATCATACATTGCTGGAGGTAATATAGAATGATTCAAACATTAAAAAACATTTGAAATCATGTATCAAGAATCTTGACTCTATACCATTTGATTCAATAATACTTCTTATGAAATTCTATTTATATAGAAAAAGGTTTTACCACAAAAATTTTCATCATATTTTATAGTGGTAAAACTTTGAACAACTTAAATGCCAAACACTTGGTTTAAATCTATTATATGTATATTATGCAATGTAACACAGTTATTAAAATAAATGTTAATAAACAGTTTATAATAAGTAGTATTAGGAAGATTTTTAACTAATATTAAGTACAATGAAAGTAAACCAATTGCATAGTCAAAAATTTTAAATAACAGTAGTTGACTTTGATATTTTAGAGCTTAAAAAAATCATCTTTCAGGTCAAAAGAGACACACAGATTAAAAGTAAAGGGATGTAAAAAGATATTTTATGAAAATGGAAACAAATAAACAGAAAAACTGGGGTAGCAATACTTATACTGGACAGACCTTAAAACAAACGCTATAACAAGAGGCAAAAAAAGGACCCAGAAATTTTACTTCTGGGTATTTATCTGAAGAAACCCATATACTAAATTGAAGAGATATATACATCTATATGTTTATTATAGCATTGTTGGCAATAACCAAGATATGAAAGCCAAGATAGGAAAGTGGTACATACATACAATGAAGTATTAAACCATAAAAAACAAAAAATTTTTGCTATCTGCATCGGCATGGATGACCCACAGGGTATTATGCTGAGTGAAACAAATCAGACAGAGAAAGACAAATGCCATATGATTTCACTTATATGTGGAATCCAAAAAAATAAAATAAATGAACAAGCAGTTAACAGCCTCATAGATATGGAGAGCATTTTGGTGGTTTCTAGATGGAAGGGGTTTGGGAGTATGGGTGAATAAGGTGAAGAGATTAAGAAATACAAATAGGTAGTTACAGAATAGTCAAGGAGATGTATAGTACAACATAGGGAATATAGTCAATAATATTGTAATAATTATGTATGGTGTCAGGTGAGTACTAGATTTATTGGGATTATCACTCTGTAAGTTATATAAATGTCTAATCACTGGGTTCTACACCTGAAGCTATA